AGTGCACCACTAAATAAATTGTACTTTAGTCGCACACCGCAACCTTCCCAGAAAACAGCTCACGTCGTCACCTCGTCACGTTTGTCGCACGGGATGGCGAAACACGCCTCCATGGTGAAAGATGACCAGCCTCCAGCCACGCTTCCCCGAGACAGGTGATTCACTCTCTCGGTCCTGCCCACCCATCTGTACAGCTGCTGGGGAAGGGAGGGCAAAACTCGAGACATATTCATAGCCGACTTTGACGAGGGGGAAAAAAGCACACTTCCATATGACAGCCAACTTCTGTGTAGGTGGTTCGAAACTTATTTTTAACCGTTATTTATTTCACAAAAAATTGCAACGTAATGGCATTGCCACACCAAAAGACAATGTGAAGCGAATTGCCATTTTTTATATTAAAATGTTTTTTTCACATTCTGAAGTCAGTTTAATATTTTTTTTATTTAATTCTGTTCGCGGTGCAAGTCCAGAACACCGAACGGCGCTTCTGTAAGACTTTTCGCGATATTTTTTTTCCTGCCAATCATGGACATTAGGCGTTACACGCGTAGCGTTTGGCACGAAAATAAAGGTTCGGCGGCGAGTGGGGTGGGAGTTAAACCGCGTTTGTTTTCATTTCGAACAGTACAATAGGTTACTGGTTTAGCGAATAGTTCCGACTGCGAGCTAAAGACCTAAGGGAAAGATTTTTCATGTTGAGATAGCTAACACTAGTAGAAACAAAACGAAACAAAACAATTTGAATGGTTTTTATAACTCTTTTTATTATCGCGAGTCCTTTTTTGAGTGGTGAGTCTGACAGTTACAAGCGATCATTCAAGAAATACGTACACGCTATTGGGCGGAGAGAGAGTGGCTTCTGTTCGATGACGGGTGATGAACAATGTACCTACCCAACAAAAACAAGTACATATGTTGTTTGAAGACCTTTTGGCAGAATCGACATGAGAAGTATCACAAGAACACGACTGCCCAAGAAGATATTTAACTCGAGAGAACCTGTAGTATTGCGTTACTTTTTGTGATTTTATTAATTATACAGAGAAGGCGTAATTTTGTGTACCTACATTTAAGGGGATAACATATTTTTGTTACGAAATTGTACGAAGCGAAAAGGGAGTAATTTTTGTGTACCTAATAACGAATTGTTAAACGGTCTATACATACTTTTATTTACTTTCAAAAAACGTGAAGATGAAAAGAAATTGGCAGAGGGCACATTAAACCTCTACAAACGAAATCAAATAAGAGTGAGGAAATTATATTTCGGTCACAAGAACGAATTAATAAAAGTTCCTGAAAATGCATAGTAAAGTAAGTATCGGCTTCCGGGAAATTCTGGTAGCAATCCCAGACGCTCAATATATCACAAACTTGAATCGTTCTGGAGAAACGCGTTCTACAGGAGGTACTCGCCGCTTTTGCAAATGAAGAAAATAACTGTTAGAATAATAGGCAAATTGCGTCCAAGTGATATCTATAAGTTTTGCCTAGAATTTTTATTTGGAATCATACCAGGCTCTTGCCTATTTATTTTCAAAGAGTGGTTTTTGACGAAACTGACTACATAAAGTGACAGCGTATGTTCATGTAATAGAAATATCTAAGAAGTAGAAAAGAATTCCTGATTCAAATGTTATTAAAATAATAGCTTGAAATGATGACAAATAGCACAGGTTATTCTGTATGTCTATTTGTGGTAACGATAATCTGCTGACCAGAGAGTTTCCCAATTACACAAAAGGATTACTGACACCATGCTAACTAACAATACCGACGCCGCGCAAAAGCACGACCGATTAAAGCATCAGTTTCATATGGCTACCAATGAAAGAAACTATACCGGTGGTCTGAAGAAACGAAATGTTTCTTGTTTGAATACAAAATTTGTTGTCGAATCAGGTATTGAAATTTTTATATCGGATAATTCACAATGCATTCATTCGTTTCGTTACATTGCCCAAAAGGAAAGACAAATCGACAGGAGAGAGAAACACGAACATCCCGACACAGAAAGACAGTCGACGTGTTGCATCTTCAGAATACATTCTGACATGGACTCTCGAGAAAACTTTGCGCAAGAGTGACACTCGTGTCTCACATGGCTGTATCTAAATGAGATTCCACACTTCGACAAATCTTTGCCACACACGCACACTTGAAATTCTTGCAAAGTCTTAGCAAATTATATTATTTGTATTTTGAAATGCGCGTGTCAATCTCAAACAAGAATAGTTTCATCTAAGAATTAATCACCTGAAGTAATTGCACTCCAAAACAGAACAATAATTTCCTAAAAGCAGTACGTTTCGACATCAGTGAACCCCAGAATTTAACATTTTAACGTTAAAATACGTATAATTTAAAAGTACTGCAGGAACGACGGAGAATCTTAATGAGTAGTGTAGGAAATATATATATCCGTTCGCTGACTCGTAAAAATGATCAAGCAAGGGGGCTGCAGAATCGTCAGCGATTCGTTTTGTTTCCATGGCAACCTTTTCAATAACACTCGCGAGTAGCGTTTTCTTCCTGGTTCTTTATTCGTACTCAACACAATAATAAGGACCACGAGTTTCCATTTCTCGAATACAGCGAATCAATTGGGTGTTTTCTCGAGGAACGAATTAGTGAGTCATTCTGAACGATTGCACAAGCACTTCTTTACTCAAAACATTTTCGCGCTTATTGTTAGATGCGCTATCTTCTCACCGCTTTACGAAACATCGCACACGACTACATTCATCTTTTGCTCTGAGCTGGACGAGTCAGCAAGCAAATGAAGCATGAAACGGAATGAATAATCTTGCACTCACGTTTGTCTTGCTAGTATGAATCAGTACTCGGAATGGTGATTTATCGCAATTGATTTACATAACGCAAAAATTCAGTCGCAACAAATAAAAAAATTAACGTGTAATGGCGTGTTCAAGATAAGTGTAATTTCTAGAGAACGAAAAATAACAATGAAATTCATCTTTTCAAGTCAACGATCGCTTAACCAAGGAAATTGCTATTAGACAATCTCACGAAACGCAAATTTGTAACTTCATCATACAATACGGGAAAGGCAAATAGCATTCTTTAACAAAGTGTTGTGTTGTTGATGGTTGTACTGTTCGAGTCTGCTGGTTCATCCATCGAAAAAGGGAAGATACACGACTTATACGATTCCAAAAACATGACCTCGATCCTGTTGGAGCCGCAAGGAAAAATTGTGTTATATGTTGATAAAGACCAAATGCCAAAAGGGACCCTTCCGACCAATTCCGCAAATAACCTTCCCGAACAGCTCCCTAAACGTAGGCGGCACGGGCGTGCGCACACACTCTCACAGACCAGTCGAACGTGCAGGCGAGCCTGCGGTCCGTGCTGGGACCGGTGCTCTTTTATGGAAGCGGGAACAAGGTCAAGCCACTGCGGCCGGAGAGGTCCAGCTCCTGCTCCAGCGCCTAACCTCGCATCCTCCACTCGCCCCGACCAACCGACCTGCCAGCCGGCCGGTCCCCGGCCACCGCCGTGCGGCACGCACTACCACACACACGCAGGCGCGAACGGCGCACGCACCTGCCGTCCGTCCGCACGACGGCGCCCCGGGAGCGTAGACGGTGGGGGTGAAGGGAAGGGAAGGGAAGGACGACGCAACCCCCATCTTTCCGGTCGACCTCAGACAAAGCACACCCGCTCACGAAAACCTATCGACAGGCAGACAAGCCGCGCCCAAATTGCGACTCGGAAGATATCAATTATTTAGGCGACGTGGAGAGATTAATTCAAGGCGGAGGCGGTGGAGCGGCAACTCAAAAAAACAAATACGAGAAATAAAAGTCAGACGTAAACAACAAGCAAAATGTCTCGGAAAGGGAGGTAAAGACTCATTTTCTGGATAGACGCACAACTATTACAAACTGGGAATGAATGTCAAATATTTAGAATGTGAAAAAAATTGATGGCATTACCGTACTACAATTGTAGGATAATTTTTTTTTTAAGAAATATTTTCACAACTCAGAAATTTGTACAAAAATATAAATATAAGAATCATTAACAGTCATCACGGAAATAGTAAAACCCCCACTTTTACAGGCACGTGTGTTCATATATTTAAAAAGATAAATAAATAGAACGAAACTAAGCAAATCCAACAAACTTTTCATCAAAAAAATCTAAAATTTAATTTGTTTACAGTTGTAATGACAGTTCTAGTTCTTGGTACTCTCATTTCACCATAATTTTGACTACTGCTGTATCCTCAACCCTACCAAAGATAATTTCTGTACAATAAATGTTTTCTGATATACACTTCTGTTTTACTACCATCTATATCCAACACATAAAGGTTAACCTGTCTTGCATTGAAGTTCGACCCGTCAACTCAGGAATTTACCCTGAGGGGTCCACATATATGTGTGGTGTCTGTTTTGTGTCTTGTTTAAGTCATGCCGTAGCTTGTACTTACCCAAAGTTCCGTTCCCCAACTCATTTTTGAACACTGAACACTGCTTATAGTTATTCTTTCACTTTACTTTTGCACACACAATATTACAAAATAAAATTCACCATAGACACCAGCAGTAGTTTCACCATTTCTAGCACAACATGGCTGACTAAACCTCATTGGCTGTCTTTGAATGCCTTGCGAGTAGACTTCTGTGACACAAGTCAATGTAGTACTTAACAGTATTGTATATCACAGAACAGTTAAAAATTAAGTAAATTATTCGTAATTTAAATTTATAATATTTTTTTACGACTGTTTATATTTAAATAGAATTACTACTAAAAAATTATGAAACTTGATAAAATGGACAGTTATAGACGTTCCATGAAGACACTGTGAATATTGTGGATTTAAATTCCATGTCAAACTACTTTGCAAGTACGTAATTCTGTAAATAATAGGCAAAGAAACTATTTTAAGACATTGACATACACAAATATTGCAATTAGATTATAATGATCCATCCAATAATGTTTTAAATATACTATGTTTACAGAATGGCAAGGAGGGAATTCTAACCTTACTTCGTGGTGAGTCACACAACGTGGGAGACAAACCAATGACCGAATTACGAAATCAAGTTTTGTAAAGTAGTCGCCGAAGTACAAGACAATATTCAGTCAAATACGTTTGTGCCTTAACAAGAAGAGAATAATTATAATTACTGAGTATTTTTTCCTGAGCTTGATTACAACCTAGGGTAACTCAGGTAAAGAAATTGCTGTATGCAAGTATGACATTTGTCAAGTCAACTATATGAATATCTATTCTTTTCGTGAACTCCGTTCCATTTGTTAATGAATGTCAAATTTATTTTGCAGATATCTTCACTATGTCTGAAGGCAGTGATGAAGTTGTTAGAGTGGGAGAATATATAGTTCTTCAGAGGCAGTCCTACACTAAATTGCATAAAGTTTCAGATCATGGAACTGTAATGTTAGGGAAGGATCAAATAGATATTAAATCAATAATTGGTAAACCTTTGTGGACTACATACAAAATGGAGCCCAAAAAAGGTTCCAAGCGCGACTTCATACTTGCAGAGTGTGATAGTGCAGAAAGTTTAGCAGAACAGTTAATTAAAGCAGTGTCCAGTGGTGTTGACAATCGAAATATATTTGATGATGGTAATTCTCAACAGTTGTCAACAGAAGAAATTATAAGTATGAGACAAGAAGGAATGTCAGGCCAAGATATAGTTGGCCAGCTTGTTGAAAACAGTAAAACTTTCAGAGACAAGACTGAGTACTCTCAAGAAAAATATTTAAAAAAGAAAGAAAAGAAATACTTTGAATACGTTACTATAAGGAAACCTACAATTAGATTAATTGCTCAGATTTTGTACAGGCAAGATTCAACAAAAATAATGGGTTTACGAATGGACACCCTGTCTCAAATTTCTACAGCTGCTGGAGTTCAATCACAAGGTACATACCTATTGTATGAAAGTGGTTGTCAAGGTCTTGTTGCAGCTGCTTTAGTTAATAGTTTAGATGAAGGTGGGTGCTTAGTTCACACTCATGCTGGTAACATTCCTCAAAAACAAGCTATATTAGCCATGAACTTTTCTGAAGCACAGAAATCACGGCTTATCAGTGTTAATATACATTCTCTTTTACGGAAACTTCATCAGCTTAAAGATAGTATTGTCAACACTGTGTCAGACAAAGATAACCAGTTGTCGACATGTAATGGTGACCATGTAATGTCCCAAAACAACAGTGAATCTGAGCAAGTTGTAGAAGTTGAAATGAAATTGGAAAAATCTGTGAACATATCAACAGAATCAAAGAACAATAATGAAGAAAAGGTGGTGAATATAAACGAAAATGAAGATGTGCAAAATGACACAAATGATCGGAAACGAAAGCATTCAGATGTTGAGGACAGTGGTCCTAAGAAGCCTCGGTGGGAGCTAGAAACTGAACGAGCCGCTCTTATTTTAAAAAGTCAGCTTGCTGATGGACTAATTGTAGTTGCAAAAGAACATCCTCGAAATATTTTTCTTGCACTTTTAGAATGGGTCAATCCTTCAAGACCTTTTACAGTATTCTGTTTGTGCAGAGAGCCATTAATGGACTTGTATGTATATCTTAAATCGAGAAATGATGTCATTGCTCTTCGACTGACTGAATCTTGGCTTCGGACACATCAAATTCTTCCTAACCGCACACATCCTGATATACTAATGAGTGGAAGTGGTGGTTATCTGTTGTCAGGAATTGTGGTTCGTGATACTGCAGTAGAAACTGTAGACTAAAGAGACTTAATTTGTATAAAGTATATTCTGTTAAATGAATATTTCAAAATAAAGTAATTTATTTACAAAAATTAATTTATAAGTTTCTTACCCCCATAAACTTGCATTATGTCAATCTATATTAAAATCTCTTCTGGACATGAAAGATATTGGACTTAAAATTTTTCAATAATTCCACAAATTATACACGGTTGCATCATAATTGTCATATTTACATAGTAATTTTGTGTGCTTGCAATGAAATTTGATATATCAATATATTACTTTCAATAGAAATTCATTTTCCTGAACACCTTTCCTGAAATAATGTGAATAGAACAGATTGCAGCACACTCATGCAACATTTACTGGCACTAGTTATTTAATTTACCTGAATAAATGTGTGGAAACAGCTGCAGAAATAATGGAGATTGATAGATCGTAGTAACAGAATTTTTCTGGCCAAGGAAAAAATCTCTTGCAGGACCACATCTCTGATGAGGTATAGGGAATCAATGTCGGAAACCAGGCATTTGGCTTTACCAGAAAATTATGAGTATGAATATAGGTACTATGAGACAATTAGTCTTCCATACTATAGATTCAAATTTATAACTCAGCATGCAGTGATTACTACAAGTATTAGAGCTATCAAGATACAGCTTGACTGAAAGAAAACCGAAACAAAACTTTATGTTAACGTAAATCACAATATATTTCTCGAAAATCTAATTGATATTAGGCTACTTACAGAAAAAATGCTTACTTGGCATGATATTAAAAAAATCAACAAACAAGTTGATATACAATTGAGCTGACATTAAGCAATGTATGTGTAAGATAATCATAGCAAATTAATATTTCACTCTGAGCTGTTCTTTATCACACATTTATATTGTAAATAATTTATAGACACAAATCAGTTTTGAAAGGCAGACAACTACAATTAAATCTCAATACTGGTTTGAAACACTAATACCCAAGGTGATTTAGGTTAGAAGGTACCAGTAATACAAAGTAGGTGAAAGATTATACTTTTGGGGCAAAGTAAAAGATTGATTCCTGACAAATAAAAATCTCTTGGACTACAGCCAAGCCATAAGGAGTAAAATAAAAACACACAACAACCTCGATTCACACATTACCAGTAATAAAAAAGTCCATTCAATCATTTGTCCAGGATGTAACCAAAACATCCTTTCTCAAGCCCATTAAATTGGTAGATATTTTTATGTACATTCGCTTCACCTTAAAAAAAAGTCTGGTTTCCAAAGCATTCCAAAACATCCTGGTAAAAATGGAATAACAGTTTATCTACAATGTCTAAAGGCTTGACATAATCTAAACATCAATTTTTTTACCCAAAGGACACTGCTAACATGTACTGGAAACGTTTTATGGAAATAGCAATTACATCTATGCCTATCTGTAGTTATAAATTTCAACAAGAAAATGTATACCCAGAAATTTATGTTCAGCTTTTTTCATTGAGCATAATCAGAACTACTCACTAACACCACGATGCAACACCATGATGTTCTCAACAATATTTTCCAAGACAACCAGCACAAAATGGTGGAATTTGTTATACCACAAGTTGAGTGGGCTTGGGTGCACGGATAATTACAGAGGGCATCATAAATACAATACAATAAAATACAAGCATGGAATGTAATATTAATAACAAGAAAAAAAAACAATGTCTTCATATAAATATTATATAATGCCCAAAATTCATACTTTTATTTACACAAACTCAATTCATAATTTCACCTTATTTGGCACTTACAGAAGAATTTGTACACTGTACATAAGAACATAAATATTTTTATTCAAGTCCCTTGGACCACCACATCACTGTTCAGTAGGGTCTGTACTCCCAGGCACACCCTTCGCCTGCTGCTAATCTTGCATTACACTGCTCTCCCTACTGTCGCTTGAGAAGGAATGCAGTTTCTCAATTGATAAGCTAAGCTGCTCCAGGCTTTCCATGAGCCGATGCATATTTTCCTGACCTGCTCGCAACCCTTCATCGCTGAGCGGAGCAAAGAGCTCCTGTTGGGCACCTAGGTCGAAATGTAAACGAGCCAATCTTTCTTGTTGCTCACGAATGCCAGTCATCTGCTCCATGCTGCAGTCTTTACCTGTTCAAAATGCAAATAGAAAATTCAAATGTTGTAAAGTACCTATCACAACAAAGTATCAAGATGCCTTTTCAGTAAGTTAATAATAACAGTCCGTAAGTTTCCTTTTATTTACTTTAAATGTTGATAAAAAATTATGGAAATATAATTATCAAAAATAACTGTATTACAAAGACATGAAATAACTCTTAATTTGTTCAAAATTTGTTTGTTTTACTTTAAATCTAACAGTTAAAGAGCACAATAATATTTAATAAAAAATAACACAATTTATGTTATTTTCATTTATAGACAGAGACCCGAAAAGTCTATGATTGTATATAAATGATGTGATGATGTGATTGTATAAAAATGATGATTACATGTACATGACTGTACATAAAATATTCAAAGTTTAGCACCTTTAGTTGTTATATACTAATTTTAAGTATAAAATAAAATTAATAAAGTAATTAAATTGTGTAATAATTAAAGATTTTAAGAAGAAAGTAAAGGCTATATTTTAATAAGATGATTTCCTTAAGTTTAATTTCAGGTCAAGAAACTAAATCAATTCATTGAAGTATGAAGAAAATAGTATACAGGAATCTGAAACAAATGAAGTTTTGTGGACCCTATATTCAAATTATTATTTTTATAACTTTTATCAACATCAGCAACCAAGTCCATAAAATTTTCTTAAAACTATTTTTTTCTTTGCAATAAAATATTTAGTTGATTATAAACACTTCCATTCCTCATATAGGCTGTTAGGCCTCATATAGGCGAGGAAACATCAACTCGTCGAAAATAAGCTCATATGACAATTTTAAGCATATTTTGTCTAATAAACTGCTTGGATATTCAGAATGGCTGAGCTGCAATAAGAATTCAAAAGTTGGTTTGAAAAAAATGCTTTCTAGGCAAAAATTTGTTTTGCAGAAACATATGAACTCTCCAGAAATATTTAAATTGTTTATGATGTACAAAAGAAATGAATATATTTGTTCAGAAAGAAAAATGAACCCAGAAATAAAAAAGCAGTTGAACTGTGTAAATTGGATGCTGCTTTATTTCTGTGTTAATGTTTCTTTCTGAACAAAAATATATATTTCTTTTGTATGTAATAAACAATTTACTTGTTTTTTGGAGTGTTCATGTGCTTCTGAAATGGAAATTATTGCATAGAAAGCATTTTTTTAAGCCAACTTTTGAGTGCTTATTGCAACTCAGCCATTTGGAATATCCACGTAAGTTTATTAGACAAAATATGCTTAAAATTGTCATAATATCTTATTTTCGAAATTTCAACATTTCCTGTACGGGCATCCTGTATGTAGACATTTATTTGCAAATTTGCCGAAATTTGTTGTAGGGAGAAACACACTCGATACTTCTCTCCATTTATTTGGTGGTCTTGATAATATTTTTCTACTTTGCTGAACTTAAGTTTACCTCAATAAATAATTTCCACACACATCCTTTTGAGCCCTGAATGTTCAAATACATAGCATATCAATGATTAATTTCATTCAGAATTTAAATACCAATATTTTCTACAATGCTATAGACCTAACCGGGCCTTAATGATATTCATAATCAAAGATACTCTGTTCAGAGGTAAAAGTATATAGCACTCAAAATTTGTAAATGGTTGAAACCAATGTATTATCTCAACAATCTCTCAATGGCATTCTAAATATCTACATTGTAGGCCTAAATAAAACAGGAACATTTCCATCAGACAAAACATTCCCAAAAATTTGAATACATTAGATATCTAGTAAAAGCAGGAACATAACAGACTTCTCACTCAATTATACATCACATTAGATTGACCTTGGTACTATTAACAATATAAGAACAAAAGGCATTTACAAAAATTAAATGAACTTATTGCTAAATCAAAAGGCTGAAAACACAGAATAACAACGGATATTAAGCATATTCAATTACATAGACATTAAGAAATAAAATTATTGAGGATACTAAAGAAAATTCAATTAAAAAAATTGAATTCAATTGAAGAAATTGAAGAAAAACCAGAGCCAAAATATTACAAAAACAACAAAACAGAGTTAGAGGGTATATGCCAGCTACTACATAAGAATGTGATATTTCCATTAGTAACTAGAGGTACTACTGTAGTACATACAGTTTCACATTATTGGGAATGGTTACATAACATTATGAGCACCTGTGGTGCGTATCTGCAATTATTTCAATAGTCGAAAAAAAGTGATACATTTGTTACTCGGTAACAAGGTCACAACTTGGTATTCTTAACTGATGTGGAACATATTTCCAAGTGTAAATGTAAAACCAAAAAGCTGACATTTATATGAGAATATATAATGGATTTGATCAGTACAGAAGCAAATTTTCCATCCAAATGAGAAAGAAAAAATCCAGCTACAGACACTGAATTTTCATGTACATGAAAACTGTCCAAAATACTAAAAATATTTAATACAAGAAGTTGAAACATCTGTAGAAACATTCATCTAAGTTGTACGCAATATTTTCTAAATGTTTTGAAGGGTCAAAACTTAAATTTACAGAAAATTCTACAGGTTTTAAAAGAACAGGTTCATGTATTAGAGATTAATGTATTTTAATTTTCTTTGAATTTTTTGAAAAATAACACATTTTTCCAGAAAGATTTCATGGTGCAAGAAGAACAAAGCCAGTTTTTAATGATTTTTTATTTGTATGGCCATTATGTGCTTCAAAGCCTCTTCTTTTAGAGCAAGAAAGGCCACAGTCAAAAGACAATGCTATCTTCTAATTTCACACTGATTTACATTGGCCTATGATTATTTGGTCATTTTGGTGGTGTTAAAACGTCGCCCACTCTGTAAAATGTTGAGTATTGCCTTTGCCCCTTTTTGCACCAAGCGTACTAAAATCACAAAAATATAAAAATGTTCAATAATGTTCAACCAATAAATGCAGTACTATTTGTTTTTTAAATTATGTATTACGTGTATTGATGAAATGATTTTTTGCGATAACTTAAAAATAAACTTATGCACTATGTAAATATAAAAGTGATATACTGAACCCTATCATAGATACTGACCGTTTGTCATTTACATTAAAAAACAGTTTTGAGCAACCAAACGTAATCAGAAATATTTAAAGGCTGGAAACTCATACATTAGTATCATTGAACATAATTGCCATGTTTCCATCTACAGTGGTCATTCAGTAAGTAACTTGGTTTACAAACTAAGAGAGGATGCCACGATCTGTGTATATGAATTTGAAGCTTCATCAATGTGGATTAAAATTCCATTGTTATAAGTCATTAATACAATAGCTCATAGTTGGACAGCCTACAACCATTTATGAGTGAATGAGAAAGATGTATAGAAATGGAATTTGTGGTGTTATCAACTTCCTTTTTATGGTCAGGAAATACATGAAAGTTATCCATGAAATGATAGCATTTACATTGAGTAGCTCAATCCTTTTTTAAGAGATGGTGAAACTTCGGATCAATGAATTTTGACAAGGTAGTTCAAGCATAAAAAATGCACTACATCCTAGGGTTCCAAAATCCATTTCAACACCAGAAAACATTGACAAAGTCCACAATGTTTTTTAGGTCAACAGGCAAGTGGAAGTATGAGTTAGGAGAAGTAGGTCATTATATTTTTTATGAGTTAGGAGAAGTTGGGTATGGGTTATGTATTGTAAGGGTTAGTTATGTATGGGTTAGGAGAAGTAGTGCATTATATTTTTGCAGGACTAATTGAACAAGATTAAACTTAGTGCAAGGTCAGTGCTGCAACAGCTCACTGTAGAGATGAAATGAAATTGCATGTGAAAATCTGTAAATGTTTGTAACTATTCAAGAAGAATTCAGCAGATTTTTTGTGTTGCTTTCTTAGTATTTTCATCAAAACCTACATTCATCACTACCTGTCAAAAATGTTTAATTAAGTATTAATCACAATTAGAATTAATTAAGATAAATAAACAGGAAAAGTGTTCATGTGATTTAAGACTTTTCAATTTTTAAACAATTTTTCACATCTCTCATTCGATTTGGAAAACTCGTGTACCAGCAAATCAATCGTTTGTCTTTCTGTTCATCTGTATGAACTGATTAATATAAATATATATAAAATATAATATATAACAAAGAATATATTAAGAGTAGCCATGGGACCAATTTAATATCGCTAGTGGTTCCAAAATTATTATCACTTTCTCTACTTATTCGTACTTATCCGTACTACTATTTATAATAATAATAATAATAATAATAATAATAATAATAATAATAATAATAATAGTTATTATTATTATTATTATTATTACATTCTTCTTATTGTTACTAATTCTTCATAAGAAGAGGAAGTTATGTAATCGTGCACCAGAAAACACCAAAATTTTGCCACCAAAACACCTTATTGCCAGATTCTGGTATTAAAAAAGTGTTGCTAAATTTAGGGGGGAAAATCCTCTAACATGGTGTAGACAGAATCCATGTTCTGTTGGTTCTTGACACCGAAACATAGATTGACGGAAAAATGTCCAATCTGTCCGTTTGTGGTCAATCAACTTTTTTTTTTTTTTTTAATGGGGCATTTGCAATGCATTTAGGAACAATGCGAGAGAGTATGTGCTTTGGCAGCACCACTACTTTCTACTATTTGTTGCAGTATGAATATATTGCATTTAGTCAATCTCCCTTTTCTAAAACCAATTTGTTCTTCACCAATAACAGTTTCTGAGATACATTTTAGTCTTGTATTTAATATTCTAGCATACAACTTGTAAACTGAATTTGCAATGTTGATTCCCCTGTAAATCTTACAATCTTTGTAATCACCTTTCTTAAAATGGGTATTACTTTAGCAGTTTTCCATGATTCCAACAACAATTTTATTTGCCAACAATAATTTTTGATGTGTTATAGTTGCCAGCAAAGCTTCATCCTGCCATATTTTAATAGTTCTGCATTTATATTGTCTGTTTCTGTTGCTTTCCTATTTTCAAGTTCTTTCAAA